TGTAGCATTAAAACACGTAAGTTAGAATGAGATAGCCGATGAAAATTACCATTTCTATTTATGAATAAAGCACTAGATTTCCAAATCAAACCGTATACAAGGTAATTTAAAAGGAGGCAGTGCCTGCTTACCCTCATCACAAAACACGGGATTAATCGAACTGTATAGCAATAATATTACGCCGCGGGAAAAAATTCCCGTGATAAATTTAAGTCGCAACAATTTCGACGTGCCAGGAATTCGTCATGGTCCTCCGTGACAGCGACGGCTGTGCTGTTTCATGGGACCTTATTTCAGTATACAATTTTTTCCCGAGTTAAATTAGATCGTTTGAATATTTTTAGGGCTGTTTACAAGGCTTATTTTATTGAAAATACCAAATACCTTTTTTCTTCCTTCAACGAATATACGAGTATTATACTTTAATTTTTATTTTCCTTGTTTTGTTTTCGGTGAATCAAGTTTTTTTTTGTAGGATATTTGCCACATACAATATTTCATCGTAATATTTAGATACTTGTGATCATAGTATAGAAATGCCTTTGATCAGCCACATCTTTCAGATCATCGGTTTGAAATAAACTCAACATCTGTCAATATCACCGATAAAAATGTGAAATATCACAGAACTATTGTTATGCCACATGATAATTTCAATGGCACTTCTTGTAACGTAGAGAGAAAGTCAAACCATTTGGCGGGCTAAATTAATCTTGTTATTGAAATTTAAAATCAGTAAATCGAATGTAATTATTGATAAAGTATTTTTTATTGCAAGCTTTTTTTTTAATTTGTCTTGTGAGTTAGTTAGTGCGCAAATCTTGGAACTGAAACTTGACCCATTTGCCAGATAGATTTGAAATTTTGAATGGACATGTAAGTCAGATGACAATACAATTTTATGGTGTCAGTAACCTGACATGATTTTGAAGTCGGAAGGTGGTCATAGGAACTTAGTAATGAAATGACGCAACTGCATCGTGTTTGGGCTCTTTATATCCGTCTTTATGAGAACAACAATACATAAAAATAAGAAACAACTTGAAAATAATAAGTTTTTTTTTAAAAACAAGCTTTTATTTATGCGCACTAATTAATAAATAATAATTTAAAAGTTTGTAGAGCCAATAAATATTTGTATTTTCTCGTCTCCGACTTCATTAGCGCTACAAGCTTTTCAAGTGTTGCATGTTTTTTTTTATAAAATAACATTTTAGTGAGCACAAAATATTTTTATTTTGTTTTTTTTTTTTATTTCATAATGTGTTTATTCTCTTCTTTTTTCCTAAAAGAGGCAGGTTACAATGTAAATGAACCTCAGAATATATCGAAAACGTTGACCTGTAACTTCCAGCATTTTTTTCAGATAAATTTCAGCTCCGTACGCAAAGTATTCGGACGATAAGTCGGTGCGCCGCTGTGCCCATTTCATATATGTCACGTTTTTCATTAACCAAACGACTTTATTATGAATCAATTTAGCTATTAATTGGAACCAGAGTGAAAATCAATTAATGTAAACATTGTTATGTAGGTTGCTTCAGAGGGAGCTTGCTCTTTTAAAATATTTTGAGGGAGCTTATTGTTTGTCACTTTTTACAAAAGAAACTCCTGATTACTCCGCTTTTGTTATTCCCTATATTTCAAATTACAAAATTTTAAATCTTTGCCTTCTTAACATTGGAAAAACATTAATACTACCTGTCTGTTCATTCTGTCTATCTGTTAAACTTGTATATTTCTTCTTCTTCTTTTATTAATGGCTTATCTGTGCATATCGCACAATTCTGCCAATGTCAAGTGAATAAATTAATTTCTACATGTAAAATGAAAATTAAAATCAACTTGTATATTTAATAAGTAATGAAAATTGTTTAAAATTTAGTTTTATTTTCTGTCGTTGATAGACGTCTAAAGAAATTTGCAAAAAGTACACATAACAAAGCTACATTCAAATAATAGATATGTTTTTATTATATTTATTTCCGATAAAATAAACCTAACATCAACGAAATATCAAGGTATTATGAACTCTGATGCCAATATAAAAGAGGCTAAATTGGAATAATGTCGTTTTTGATAGATCGCCTTGTGTTCACAGTTGATCAACATCGCGTGCGCGGTGCCTCATATGATAACAGTCTTAAAATAAATGGGGTCATTAAACGGCGGAGGAGAAATTGCTTTCCGTGAAAAAAATATGTATACGTTACGTGTCGGGGCGCGGAGGTTTAATAATACCAATATGAAATTTGATTTTTCTATTACAACAACTTAATCTTGAACTTACTCATGGTATTTTTTTTTTTTTAGAGAAAAATATGTATTTGAAAAAATTAATAGCCTCTAGTCAATTGATAATTAATATTCATTCAGCTTCTAAAAAAATGAATTTTAACAGAATTCAAATATCGATAATATTGAGTTAATAATGTTGAAGATAGTCAAACGAAATAAAAACATAATACTTTCTATTAATTAATGTCGCTTTTATGACCTTGATAGTAATAATAATAATAAGATTTATTTCTCTCCACAAACTTTTTATAACTTATAAAATACAATAAATTTTAAACCTAATTTTGGTTGTGGATCGCTGTTGCCTGTTTAAGGTAATTAAAACCTGTTTGCACAGGACACGAGGACCACACCCCTCAGCGGTAATTACAATTTACGACATAGAAGTTCATAAAATTATAGATAAATAAATTTACAGACCAATAAAGAAATGCAGTTAAGAGGGCGCGTAAACTATAGGTCGACCTATAGTTTACGCGCCCTCTTAACTTGATTTGTTTGGATAAGGTTTACAGCTTCCAAACAAGCTGCTACAAGCAAACGTGGGCAAAGTACATAACATATGTTGTATTATTAGCTGGAATGTAAGTGAGGGCGTATGGATGTACGCATGTTTGTTACTATGTCACGCAAACACTAGAGAAATGACTTTGATGAAATCTGGTAATCAGAGTACTAAGATGATGATAATGCCGTCACCATGTCCGGCATTTATAAAGTTGAACATTTCATACATTTTATATGTATGTAACCTACTGTTACTATTTTTTTTTGTAAGTAAGCCAGTCTCGATCTCATCAAATCTGGGAATCCCCCAGTAACGGTAAAATTACCTTTTACAGAATTCCTTTTGTACACCTCTCCACTCTCGCCTTTAATAGACTTGGTTATATTTTAAATGTTTTAAGTCTATTAGACACAGGGACTGTAAATACTTAAGACCATGATTGGCTTTCACTTATACTACATAGTAATTATCAGATATAAAAGCCACCCATATATAAACAAAAAATAAGTAAGTAACTTTCGTGAATACTTTACTTAAACACTAATAAATGAACTTAATTGACTTATACACTTATTTGTTTTAATTCAGTAGACAACGCGTCACACTACTGTTATCAAATCTATTATTATTTTCAGTACATCACAATAAGATAGATAGAACGATCCGAAGCTACTATTCAAATTAATTCAATACGAATTGGTGAATTTATTATCAATAAATATACTAAAAAGAAATTAAATATCGGCAATATTATGAATTTATAAGAAGAAAAATCTCTTATTGAGTCTAGAGGTCCTTTGAAGGTGATGCTTTTTATTTACTCGTAAAAGATTAGTTTCCTAGTTCAACAACAGACGCAATGAAGTACAAGCAAATTAATAAAACAAAAAAATGAATTAACGAAAAAGCCTTTTATTTTTCCAGTCTGAATGTTTTGGTGATTTTCAGTGCTCAGCAAAAGGAACCATAATTGCTGTCAAGGTTTTAAAACAGGGCCATTAAAATAACGTATTTTAACTAAAATTAAGAATAAGTACAGTATAGAAAGGTTTGGTTTACTCTGCATTCACTATTATTCTTAATAAACGTAAGCCTAGTCTCTATTTTCTATATAAAATATTTAGCTCATTATTTTACGAAAAAGAAAACAACTGAATTGAGAAGCTGTACAATTGTGATATTCCTTGTTATTCTAGAATTTGTATAATCAACAATTCCCCATGTCAGTAAATGTTATTATATTGTTTCTGAATCACAAACCATAGAATGAGAATCTTAATGCAGTGTGCACTACATAAAAAAGGTCTTTATTGAATCGCTTAAAAAACAATACAGTGTGAAATTACCACAAATAAGCACGAGTTTTCACAATATATCATTTCCCATTTCCATTTTTTATAAATTTGCATCGTTCGCATATAATTCCGATTAGGATTAATATTTTTTTGCCAACTCATTTTGCTCTCATCCGAAACGCCCCACTCGGGTGCCGCCGGCGCCGGTTTCGTGGCCCCACATAATTTCTCCCCTTCAGAGGACGACACTCGTCAATGACAAATTAGGATATCTTGCGAAGCACGAAATTGCTGCCGTCACATTACATATTGAACTTTTTCGTTTCTCTTTCATATATATAAATATATATATTTTAGTTTTATAAGTTAATTGCTACTTAAATCTGTTTTATAAACAGATAAGTAAAATAAAATAAAGAGCTAAATATTTTATATAGAAAATAGAGACTAGGCTTACGTTTATTAAGAGTAATAGTTAAATGCAGGGTAAACCAGTAATATATAATAATTATTTGAGTAATAGCCTTAAAAAAATGCACTTTTAATTATAAAAGTGCATACCTATTCATGACTGTTAAGTCATAAATAGGTATTATCAATTAGCCAACGCAATAAACTGCCCAGAAGCGTGCGTTACAAGATTTTTTAAACGTGAAAAAGTTATTTGAGTGATCAACTGTGCCTTGTTTTTTATCGATTCTAACAAATTAATAATACCTCAATGCTCACTTTAGCGCACCAATCCATATTAGAAACGTTTCGTCAGTTCTCTCTGCTTAAAATAAAAAATATGTATGTTTATTAATATAAATAAATATTAAATGAAACTATTAACATATAATATTATAACTAAAGATTTTTTTCATGTATACATAAATACACACATTTTTTGTCACCAGGAAATCGAACACTGCTACTACCACGGCACCGTGAAAGACTATCCGGGTGCGTCGGCCGCCTTCCATACATGCAACGGTGTGTCCGGCGTCATACACATAGGCAACGAGACCTTCGTCATACATCCCTTCTACGGCGGGGATCTATCGGTCAGTGAGCACGCTTTATCCATGATTATATCTAGAATTGAGATGATTAGTGGTTTGGTAAAAAGAAGGAAATTTTAATTATTCCGTCAGTCAGATAATAAAAAAAATAGATAAGTATTAAAAAGAAATAGCTTAGATAGGCTTTAAATTTGAGGAGTGCGGGCTCGCTACGTCACAACTATGCAGAAAATAAATGTACAAAGGTGTGTCCTCATGCGACATTTCAAGTCAATGTATCGCCGTAATCTATTGGTTACCCCACGGACAGACATACAAAAATAAGTCATCATCCTTATTATTACTGCTTTGAATCCGGCTTTGAAATGAACAACAAGAATTTGATCAAGATTCCAGTGTTTTATTTTTAAAAAACTTTGTATGTCTTGGTCCTACAACATTCATGTCACATTTAAGTAGTTTTGATTATACTTATTGTTGTCTATGACATCGCGGTGACTAAATCAAAATGAATTTTAATTATTGTGTTTGAATAAGTACATTTATTTTTTTCCGCTCTGAGCGGTTAAAGTTTCTAAGAAGCCTTTTTTTATTTTTTTTAGTGTGCTACTGTATTGTGGTGAGACATAAAGGACTGAGCAAAAATATAGTTAAATAGAATATTTGAAACAGTATGCCATCTTAGTTGAATAAAAGCTTTCCACGTTTAAAATTAATTACTAGGTATGTTATTGCTTATATACAAATCTACATTCCTCATTTTTCTTTAATAATGCATAGAAAATAATAAGTACTATTTACATGAGAAATAAAGTATAGCAGTTCCAAACTATAACCCTAATTTGTATATAAAAAATACTATTCACACTATACACGGTTTTGTTTCTATATCTATGACATCATATATGTGATGTTGTCCCCATCCATTTTTCGTAATTGAGTCTCCCTCTGTGTGTGACCATGTCCTCGAGCACTTTATGTGTTATGTTTTCCGCAACTCGATACACATAGCCAATTTTGCGTGAAGATATCCACAGACTAAAACAGTTGCCCGATCACTGATTAGGAATCTAATATTCTCTTAGTCGGTAAACGGACGGTGGATGTAAATCAACAGGAAAAGAGACAAGAAAGAAATACATATATTTGTATTAATAGCTTAACGCTTGCCCTGAATATCTACATACTATATTGTGATATGACTTATAATTAATCTGTCAATATTTTTTTGGATATCACACATATAAGAGAGATTGAATCAATCAGTATTTTCTACATATATATAAAGTTCATATATATGAAGACGGTATGAAGTTCTCCGGGTCAGCTAGTACTTATATATATAATAACGCAATAGTAGTAAAATGTGTTTTAGAAGTGAACGATTCGATGCACCTGTCATTGACGTCTAGTGATCAATATAAAAAAATATTGAATTATTAATTTCATATTTTGACGTGATTTTTAACGACGTTAGTTATGAATAAAAAATGCTTAAAAAATCCACTTTGGCCCTGGCACCCTGAGATGGGACTCGTACCTATGATCGCAATCCAGGACTCTGCTCTAACCGCTCTAAGAATGTATTCAGTAAAGCATTATGAATGCAAAATTAATCAAATATGATAATAAAGACGTCAGTTATTTCATATCGTCTAAAAGAAACCACCCAGAATTTCAGCAAGTGCGTGTTTTTATGTCGGTGCGTTAAACCCGCGGCTCTCCTTAAATCTCCGGACTCTCTCCCACTGAGATGACTGATGTTTCTCGTTAGTACACTCGCCACCTACAATTACCCTCATCATTTACCGGTTAACTCCGAACGGGGACGATTTTTATCCCACTTTAGGGAGTTTATCACTTAAACCTTTCATTGTAAGAACCCAAAACGCGAGAGTAGTGTTTATTAATTAATTAATAAAATAAATTCAAGACGAGAAAACGAACTTATATTTAAAAATATTTACATAGACTTTATTTTAAAGTAGTAATGATTAAATATATTTAAATAAAAATGTATTTAATTTTTTTTAATCAAATGCATATTCGGTTGCCAAGAAGGAAGCTCATTCAGACATACCTATTATTTAGTCGTGTTACGTAGTTAAAACAGACGCCTCTTGACAAAAATTCTCAATAATATTATGTTTGTATTTTTTATCGAATAAACCCTATTAAATAAATATAAGACAACATCACATACATTGCTCAGATTCCAAGATATTTAGAAGCCCCCATATTATAGAGTATTTAAGACAAAGAAGGTACCACAACACCTAGATCCGAGACAATATAGAAAAATTCATTTTCTACCCGACCGGCAACCAAACCCGGGACCACAGAGATGGTGACACATTGAAACCACTCGACTACGGAGCTAGGTAGTATTAAATATGCTACCTAGCTGGAATACTTATAGTAAGTAATTTTAAATGTCTATTATTATTTCACTTGAAATATAGCTGGATACATTTAAAATTATTTAGTGCATTTTAACTTTCATAAGGAGTTCTAATCTAATCTCACGGCAACGATATGTAGGATAGCTCAACATATTGCGCCAACTAGAAATAAATAATTGGAAAATTACAAGCAAATGATGATCATATTATAGATATTTATTTATTTTAAGACTATAATATAGTAGTAGTAAAATTTTATGTCAGTTCTTGGAAAATCTTCAGGTATATAGTGGGAAATCATGTTTTCACAAAAGTTTTATGTGTATTTCCTGTAATTCCTGTATATTAATTACGACTCCACGATATTAATATAAGTGGACTGAATAAATATTTTCATCCAATAAATATGCGTATTTTACAAAGTTATCGGTGAGATGTATACTTGGAACTCCCATCGAATTTCATCGTAAATAATTAAAATATATACTTTTAATATTTTAATTCAAGGACTCGATGTATCTATTATATAAAGAGTATATAAATATTTATTGGTTTAGTGATGATACATTATTCAGGTGTTTCTTGTTAACGACCTCCGTCCCCAATTACCGAGTTCCCCAATCCGCCGCAGCAGCACATGACTCTGATCGCCGTATATGCCTCGTAAGCGACGTGACAACGCCTAGTATACGTCACTCTGGAACTGCTTCTCTAGAACAGTAATTAATGCTTCGGATCACGTGACATAAACGTTAAACGTCGGCTTAATGATACACACAAGACTAGTACACGGAATGGGATACGATAATCTGCTTTGGTCGCTGTCATAGACTAGATGTGTAAACCGTAACCGCAGCTTCTACTGTGACATGATAGTGTTGTTATAACGTCAAGTCGTTCTGTTGTGACATAAGTTGATTCAAAGTGCTGTGTGTAATCGGTTTGGTTTGTCGAGTTGTCATTTTGCAATTAATCACTTTCATCGATTCATTAATAGGCAGTCGCGGACGAATCTGCTTTGAATAATATTTGCTAATAAGTATAGTCGATTTTGCTTAGTTTTTATTTCCTATTTCGGATAAGACGGAAGTCTATAACTTTAATTTAATCATGTGTTTATTGTTAAAATGTTCCTCTTTTACTGTAGACGAAACTGATAATTTCATAATAATATTTGTGATTTTGATAACGTTCAAATATGAATTTCTCTTATAAAAATCTAATATTGACAAACTCTAAGATTGAGCAATCCATTATCGTAAATGGAAACCATAAGTGAATGTAAACAAATTTGAATAGGCAAAGATATTCTTAAATTAAAATACTTGAGAATAAGTAAATACTGGAAAGAATACCATCAGCAAAAATAAATTCTATTTAAATAAGAAAATCCTAGTTTTTTTTGAGCTATAAGAAACTCTTACAAAATAAAAAGACTAAAATACAATAAAAGTAACCAAAATATCAATGTAAATATAATTCCTTGGACAACATATCTCATACAAAAATACACAAGTCTCATATTCTATTCTTCTGACACAAGTTGTGAAATCTAATACAAACCAAGTCGGTTAACTCAGCACCTATCGCTCTATGGGAGCTACTCTCCAATTAATCTAGCAAATATCAGTAAGCGACAAAATGGTTGGGTGGTCAAAAATATTCAGAAACAGATGGTACATTTTGACCGTGGCTCTTTCCCTCAACTTGGCGGGTTCACTATCATGCCCCAGATCAATTATTTATTTATTTAATTCGATACAAAATCCACAGCAATTTCTTATCTTAATAACAGTAGTACAATTTTAGCGTATCCCAATCATTATTTAATTATCATAAATATGACTGTAATAGTTTTGTTTTTCCTCTCCAAACTAAAATAATAAAAAAAAAAATTTAATATGAGTTTATTTTAACGTTAACCTTTGTCACGAGTATTAAAATTAATATAATTTTCGCCTGTATACTATAATAGAATAAGCTTACTTCTTTTGTCCTGGAAACCATAGTTTGATAGGACTAATACTAATTTCATTTCATGAGTTTAAAGCGACATTACCCATACAAATTTGATATTTATTAGAGATTAAAGGCGTTATTAAACATTAATGGACGTTTGTGCAACTTACCGTTTATCATCAAATGTTTTAATCATAAAATAATATAAGTGGACTTCCTTTTTTCATAGAGAACATAACTCCACCTCTATAACACCGCTACGAAAAAGCTTTGACGAAAAAACACGGGGCGTAGCGGAATTAAAAAAAAAACGCCGACAAATATGGCTGCCATTTGGAACTGGCATTAATCAAGAATAAAAGAAAGCCGGAATGATTTGCGAATTTAGCAATGGTGCGAGATGTAGGAATCGGCACGCTATTTTGTAACGCGTGAATCGGCATTTCCATTTACGTGTAAGTTTACTTGACGTTGTTTCGTATTAATAATTTAGGAAATATATACCCATCTTTAAAATAATGTACATTCGATCTAATATTGTCGTGTCCTAAAATATATTATAATTTTGGAAAAATGAAATTTAAAATTTGTTAGCTTGTGTGTAAAATACCTCTTCATAATGTCTTATTGATTCTAGTATTATTAAAGTGAAAGTAAATGTATGTTACACTTTCACAGTCA